ATTCAGTACGTACTGGGGCACCAAAAAAGACCAAGCAGCGAGTCCTTTTATGATCCTCTAAATTATGTTTTGACTTTTGAGTTTATACACATCTTGTTTGTTTTTACACGGGACCCATTATATTCCTTCATATGTGTTTCTTTTCTAATATGAGAAAAACTAAGGAGATGAAATGGAATGTTATTACATTACAGTCCCACATGTTTCCACAGTCAAAGTCAGGTGGTTGGAAAGAATGGAGCTAGGACTGGGTCTATGGGATGGCGGTCTGGCATCCTCTAAATGAGTCCCGGCAGTTAGGAGTAGCTCCAGGACCTGGTTCAGTCAAGGCTGAAAAGTCCATCATCAACATCACCAACATCATCATCACCATCATCAAAATCATTGTCACCATAATCATCACCAATATCATCATCACCACTATCAGCACCACCATCATCACCATCACCATCATGATCATCATCACCATCACCACCATCATCATCATCACCACCATCATCATCATCACCACCATCATCACCAGCACCACCATCATCACCACCATCATCACCACCATCATCATCATTGTCATCACCACCATCATCAAAATCACCTTGGGGGCTTCCCTGGTGGCGCAGTGGTTGAGAGTCCGCCTGCCGATGCAGGGGACACGTGTTCGTGCCCCAGTCTGGGAAGATCCCACATGCCGCAGAGCGGCTGGGCCCGTGAGCCATGGCCGCTGAGCCTGCACGTCCAGAGCCTGTGCTCCGCAACGGGAGAGGCCACAACAGTGAGAGGCCCGCGTACCGCAAAAAAAAAAAAAAAAAATCACCTTGGGGTGACACTTACACAGCACTGACCATTAGCCCCTTCCATGATTTAATTTATCTAATCCTCACACCCTGTGGGGTTAACCCCAGTCCACAAGTGAGGAAACGAGGGCACAGAGAAGTTGAAGCCACACAGCCAGGAGGAGACAACACCAGAATGTGAACCCCAGCAGTCTGGCTCCAAAATAAGGCCCATCCCTGAAACACCAGACCATTTGTGAGCCCAGCTCCCAGGGCACAGAAGGCTCCTGGGAGCATGATCAGCAGGGGCCATCCTGCTTTCCTTTCTCTTACCTCCCTCTGTTTCTTACACAGCGAGCTCTGAGCTCTCCAGCAGTGAAATGGGGTAGCCTGTGTCATGCACAACCAAAGCACCTCTGACCCTCACTAGGGAGGGAGAAATGAGGCGTGTGGATATTGAAATGGGAAGGTCTGGCTGTTCACCCATGGCTGAAGCAATCCAGATGAACCCAACTCAACACCTGGTTTGCTTTTCTGAAGACAAACAACAAAAAGTTCAATTTCTGGGGGGCAGGGCTGGTTCTGTTTCTGCTTTAAATGCTAAGCAGATTCCTCGGCTGGGCGGCCATGGGGCGAAGAGATGCACACAGGTGGAGGGTCTGGGAGAAGCCATGAGCCAACAGAAAAGAAGGGTCCGGAGACCGTCTCTCAAAGGCAGCAAGAACCTCTGCGACCACATCCTGCTGCCCGGGGGGTGGGGGGGCTGCCTCGGCGGGTCCTGCAGATGGGAAGACTGCCCATCAGCTGTGCCTGAGAGACAACAAGAAACAGAGGCTCATTAAGAACATTTATGAAAAGCCAGGAGCCTCGATCCTCACTCAGCATCCTCACTCATTAAGGACATGTCAGTGGAGAGTGGAGCCAAACATTCTTTTTCTAGGAAGGAAACAGGCTTTTCCACAAACCAGTTGTCACCAGGACAATGAGGGGTAAGGCCCAGACTGCCATACGGTTCCAGGCTGCTCCCACCCCAAGTGCTGGGAAGGTGACAGGGACAGCCTGGAGTGGGGCCCCCACCTCCCAATCCAGCCCAGAGTATCCACCAGCCCCTACAGTCACCACCTCGTCAGTGCACACACCCATGCTCCCCAACACCCCTCCTGCCTGCTCCCTGTGGAGCCTGGCCCTCAGCAGGAGCTGGTCACCCATGACTAGCACCATCGGGGGCCTCAGAGCCTCATGGGGATCCTGAGGGGCAAAGCAGGTGAAAGCAGTGGCTCAAGGCCCTGAGGCCAGAGTGAGGCCTCCCAGAAAAGCCAAAGGGGGAGTCTGAGGAGACGACAGCCTGAACTCACAATCCCATTAGCTCACCTGAGAGCAAGCCCAGCGGGGAGACAGCAGGCTGGTTGCCCACTGGATCCAGGGAACATGGGCTGAGCTGGGAGGGCATGTGCTCCCCAGACAGAGCTCAGCCACCAGGACCAAGGAGTCCCTCACCAAAGCAGAGCCTCGGCTCCCCCTGAGATGAGGCCTCAGACCGGAGGGGCTGCAGGGCTCCTCACCAGGTGCTCCCACCAGATGCTCCACCAGATGCTCAAGGGTATTGGGCCTCCATCTCCCTCGGCCCTGCTTTGCTGTTGCTGCTTCTATGACACCACATGCTCTCCTGGCCCCGGGCTGCCATCCCCTCAGGCTCTCGCCCCTTCCCTCTCTCTTTCTCCCTTTGAGGAGGACAGGAAGGACCCTGTTCAGTACCTCTAGTCCCTCTCAATCTTAGGGGAGGGAAGCAGGACATACAGAAAGGTCGTGGTCCGAGCAGCAGTCACCATCTCTCTGCCTAACCATGAGAAAAACATCTGACAAACCCCAGTTGAGGGGCACCCTACGAAATCCCTGACCAGCACACCTCAGAATGGTCAAGGCCATCAAAACTAAGCCAGAGACCCTATCCCAGAGGAGCCCAGGAGATGTGAGGACCACACATCACGGGGGCCTGGCACAGGAAGAGGATGCTACTTAACACTGTGTTGGCGTTGGTTCATAACCGTGATGAGCGCACCTCACAAGCGCAGAGGTTAGTGACGGGGGGTGCGCAGGGCAGGGGACACACAGGGACTCTGTCTTTCCTGCTCAGTTTTTCTGTAAACCTAAATCTGCTCTAAGAAAGTTTTAATTAAGTCTATACTTAATTTTTTTAAGTAGCAAGATGTCCCCACAATCACAGCAGCCCAGTCTCTCCATAGACCCCAAAAGGTGAAAGGACCAAGACCCTCACAATCACCAGTCTCTGACACAGACGGTGTCCTCTGGGAATCTCAAATATCTGGGCCTCAGCAAGACCAACAGGCAGAGTAACCTTGATTACAAATCAGATTTCCACAAGCTCATTTCTCCTCATAAAATTATACTAAATATTTTATGACTGACCCCCCTTATCTTCAACAAAAGGAATCAAAAAGCAGCAAATTTGGGCTTCCCTGGTGGCGCAGTGGTTGAGAGTCCTCCTGCCGATGCAGGGGACACAGGTTCGTGTCCCGGTCCGGGAAGATCCCACATGCTGCGGAGCGGGCTAGGCCCGTGAGCCATGGCCGCTGAGCCTGCGCGTCCGGAGCCTGTGCTCCGCAACGGGAGAGGCCACAGCAGTGAGAGGCCTGCGTACCGCAAAAAAAAAAAAAAAAAAGGCAGCAAATCAATGGGGACAGAACACCAGAAAGGGCATGAGTCAACCATACGTGGTTCACGAGGTGGGTCCAGGGTCATAGGGCTGCAAAGAACTATATGTTCTCACCCCTGACCTCTTGAAAGGGTACAGTGGGATATTCCAGAGGCTACGTACCTGACAGGCAAAGTCGGAACCGACTCAGCAGAAGCAGAGCCAAGAATGCAGCTCCTTTAAGAGATCTGCACAAACATAAAACGATGGGAAAATAATGCTGTTTTTCTTTAAAACGTGATGTTTACATGTAGTGGATTTATTAAGGAGAGTTAAGGGGTCCTGAGACCGAATTTGAAAGCTAGGTCCAGCGTTTGCAACGTAGGGAGGTGATTGCATGGGCCTGTGGCTCCACCTAGTGCCAGGCAGGGGACACGGGTGGCCCAGCCAGCCGAGGATGGAGCCACCTGACACCACCATACAAAGTCGTGGAGATTCAAGAGGTATCTTTTTGGGATTCGGGTGAATGTAACATGAAACTCTGTCCTGGCAGGGCTGCTGGGACCCTCCTCCGAGATGCAGCTCCACAGACCTCGGCACAAGACCGGCTCAGAGCCTCCAGACACCGCGGGGAGCACTCTCACCCTGCCATTGACGCATTTGCCCGTTAGAGATGGGCCCCCCAGAAGGTGGGACTTGGCTACCTGCACAACCCAGGCCCTGCCCAGGACCAGGCCAGGGGGCTTAAGGAGGGAGGGGCTGTGGAGGAACAAGGAGAGGCGGCCTCCAAGTTAGAACTCAGGGACTCACCAAGATAGGGTGGCAGTGGGGCCCCCTGTGGGTGTTGAGCAGCACCCCTAGCCTCCACCCCCCAGACGCCACAACTACTCCCAGTGGGAGCCGCCATCTACACCCTAGCAGATGGTGGTGGGGCAAGATTGGATGTGGATCCCAGGAGACCAGCTTCACAGGTGTGCAAAAGGTCACGGCTCCTTTGCTGTGCCTTGATTCACCAAATTTTGTCTCCAACACGTCCCTCTCCCTTCCTGCAAGCCTGCTCTACTTGCTGTCCAAGCCACAGGCCACCGGGACAGCGCCCCAAGTCCTTAACTGACTCATGCTGGAATACAAGCTTTGTCCACCGTCACCTATCTTCCCAGCCTGTAAGTTTTACACAAAACTGCCTGGTGTCCACTCCATGACACACCTCAAAACGCACCTGGAACAATAATTAAGTGGCTAGCTCAGGTTTCCAGAACAGCCCTTTAGGAGGGAGGGAGGGTGTCCCTCGAAAGGGGCAACGTGGGGAGGGGAGACTTGAGAGGGAGGACCTGAGGAAGGGTCCTGAGAGGGGGGGACCTGCGAGGGGGGACATGGGTGGGGGGACCTGAGAGGGAGGACCTGAGAGGAGGGACCTGAGGCAGGGGACCTGAGAGGGGGGACATGGGTCAGGCAGAGGCACCCTGCCGGCTCTGTCGCCTGACTCTAACATCGCCCCTTTTTTCACGGAGTCCCGCGGCCGTTCACGCTCACCAATGCTGCCGTGAGGGTGTCCGGCCCCCTCAAAGGTCACCTACCATAACTTGACAGGAGCCTGGGAAGCCAGATCAAGGGAACACCTGAGAGTCACAGACGTGACAACACCGGCTCCCTCCACGCCACACTTCCGCCCTGAGGACGCCATCGCCCGGCTCCAAGATGGCGGCGCCACGCACGACGTCGTACCACAGAGGCCCCGCCCATCAGCCGGAGGGCGGGCCCTCTGAGCGCTCCGCCCCCTCCGCGCTTCGACCCGGAAGGGATCTCCCAAGCTGGCAGCGAGCTTCCAGTGCTACAGGCAGTTGAAAAAAGGGCAGCGGCGGGGATCGTGGACCTGCCCAGAGTTTGGCGGCCCGGAACCTCCTGCAGGGCCTTCCCTCGCGGAGCCGTACAGTACTTTCTTCATGATAAACACCCCACGTTAACACCAGTAAGACCGCCGGAAACCTTTGTTTGGCTCAAGCTTTCTAGATAAATGAGCCGTCAGCCTCCGTGCTAGGAGTCCTCGTCCAGTAAGGACTTTTGATAACGACATCTGTCGCGCGGGGTTTCCTGCCGAAATCCTGGCCTTGAGTGGAAGCCCACTGACCCTGTTCTACGGTCCCGGCGGCCGAGCGGCCAGGGCCCCGCGGTGCGTGGGCTCCTCCCGAAGCCGAGTCCCAAGAGCAGATTTGTCCTGGGTGAACCCGAGCAGCGAGCCTGGCACATCCTGGGGCCGTGAGCGTGGGGAGGGCCCGGCGGGTGTGCCCTCGGTGCCGCTCCCGCCCGTCTCCACCCCGCGAGCTCCGCTGCCCAGGGCGCGCTCCTTGCGTGGACTCCCGTTGGCTTCGTCCTCTCCCGTGTCACATGACAGACGCTCCGCCCCCCTCCCCGGGAGATTTAATTCCGGGGGTGGGAGGGGTGTCTAGATTCCTGTAACTCTAGTGTCTGCCTCTGAGGCTTCAAGTTCTGCACCCCATCTGGCCAGAGCAGTCTGCACAGACTGCATCTCCAGGTGGCAGACACGACCCAGGGGAGGGAGCCCCACGCTGGACCTGGGAGGGGTGAACGTCCACAGTCCCCATGGAGACCTCACCCCCTGGCACAGGACAGGGGTCCTTTCTGGGAAGAGAGCTTTGTGATAGTTGAGGGTGCCCATTCACTCACTTGCACTGTGCAGTCACCAGAGCTTCTGCAGCTTCTGATGAAATGAGCAGATGGCCAGGGATTCCAGGTGTTTGAGGGAAGTCACTAAATGAATGACACAACACCCACAGAAGAGGGTGGGACCTGGGCAAGCCCCAGAGCCTCAGTTTCCTGCTCAGCACAGGGGCCAGTTCATCAGACTACCCTAGACGGCGAGTGATGCTGGACATTGTCCTTGCCTTGGGAGGTGGCCCCTGCCTGACAGAGGTGTCTCCTCCCTTTGCTTTTGTGGAAAACCTCTGGGGACTGAAATTGTTTCTAGGAGGCCTCTTTCATCCACCCCCACGTGGTGGTCGTATTGCTTGGGACTAGAAGCACACGTGCTGAAGGTGCAAGTCCCACTGTGCTTGGCCACTGGCCCAAGGGCAGCGGGGGGGCGGGGGAGGGTGGCTGATAGGCTGGTCTGCACCTGTTTCCTCTGTGAGGCAGCAGAGGTGAACTGCTCCTGGAAGTGGCCCACTGCGCTGGGCCAGCCTTGCTCCACCTCATCAGGGGGTGCATGTGTGGGGTCAGCTGTGAGACAGAGTGCGGGGGGCCCTCCACACGCCCCCAGCCCCACTCGCGTAGCTGCACGCTGCCGCTGCCCCATGCTCAGGCAGAACTCTCTGCAGTGCTGCACAGACCTGGGGGGTGCAAGTCAAGAGGGAAGGCTGAGAGCCACGCCCAGGCCTTTGTAAGGACGCACTGGTGGCGCGATGTATGCGTCTGCCCCACTCACCCACCTTCGTGGTGCATGGCCCTTTGGGGGTGCAGACCGGTAGACTCACCAGCAATGCACAGGACCACTGAGTGGCATCGGCCTCATCAGGAGGGGACCCCCATGGCCTGTGGGCACTGGAGTGTTCGGTGCCTCGGAGTCCCGAGATACAGACCATGCGCGTCTTCCTGTTCCACATGCTGGCAGGAGCCAGCATCACAGGAGGACTGGAGCGGGCGAGGAAGGAGATGGAGTCACCTGTGGACCGCAGAGCCGTTAAAATAAACCACTTAACCAGAGTCACTTTCCTGAGACTTTATGACTCAGAGCTTGTGCCAACTAGAGCCCATGGTTCCCTGGAATCATTTGTTGTATATTTTGCACACATGAGTCTAACAGCTTAAATTATTTTTGAAAATCGTTTTCAAAGATTATCCAAGAACTACCTAGTTTTTTGTGAGCTCTGTTTAACTGGGTGAAATAAAGCTTCTTTGGTATCTTCCAGTCCCTGTGTTCGACTCTGCTGGTTTTGTTTCCAGGGACAGGAAACAAGTAGGCACATCCCCCGGGGCCACTGTTACTGTGCCTCAGGAGCGTGTCAGCCTGTTGTAACACCAAGGGTCCCACGCCCACCCTGGGACGGAGTGCTGTCAGGCTGGGCCCCCGCCAGGCCTGGGTCCTGCAGCATGGAACACTTGTCTTTTAGTTTCCTCACTGGAGGCCAGTTGTATGTAGGGTCTGACCTCCCCAAGGTCTGAAGCGAAGCTGCAGACACGGGGGAGGTGGTCTCACTCAGGCCTCATCATGCCTGCATGTGGGGCTGGATCTGCCCAGGCAGGGCACTCCATTGCTGGGGCACCATGTGGAAGAGAGCCCTGGTCTCAGGAGGACCCTGAGCAGGGAGCTGACAACAGCCTGGGTGGCACTGGGTCGCCAGCATGCCCAGAAGGGACCAGGTGAGAGGCCGGCCTCAGCTCTGGCCCCGCCCAGCAAGGCCATGGGTTGGAGTGGCATTGGGACAGCACCAGGCTGCAGGTCCCATCTGGTGGGGGCGTTTCCTGCCCCTGCTCCCTGAGCCCTCCTTGGGGACCCTGCCCAGAATGGGTCAGAGCACCCCATACACACCACTGTCTGATTCTTCCTGAGAACTAAACCTAGCACAACCTAGACCCTGCCTCAGGGTCTCACTGCACCTCCCCCCATGCCCACCCTGTCCCCAGGAGCCCAGCCCACACCCCCGCCCCAGTCAGGAGCCCTGCAGGTGTGGGGCCTGGAGCAGCCGTTTCTAGGCCAGTCAGGAGCCCTGTTGGTTCTCACCAGCAGCCCAGTTAGTGGAGATAATTTCAGAAAGGCTGCTGGTCTCCCGGGATCTGCTCTGGGCAACTGCAAGGTGGCGTCAGCTGGAGCACAAGCCGTCACTGCTTCTGGAGCATCCTCCTCCCACCGCAAATCACTGGGCCTTTGCTCATTCCAGACCCACCCGGTACCCCTGGGGTTCACAAGTCCAGCCTCCCAGGAAAGTGAGAAATAGGAGTTGCTGGGTCCCCCAACTCTCACCAAGGACGGGAGCTTCACAGGCTCACATGAGCAGGCATGCGTCAGCTCGACCACCACGTGGAGTTTTGGCCTCTGCCACATGAGGCCACCAGGGTCAGCACAGGGACCACTTCTGAACCCTGAGGGTCCACAGGGCAGCGGGTGTGACCAGCACTCATAGACAGGAAACAGTACCTCAGAGCAGGAGTGCAGACCCTGTGCCCCACACAGCTCCCTCCTGCAGGCCAAGCTCCCGCCATCCTGATGACTTGATGATGCCCAGGTATGTTCAAGTGTCATCACTAAGGCCTGTGTGCAGCTCTAAGGCTGATTTCAGCTGTGGTTACAGTGGAGCTCTCTGATCCACGGAGGAGAGATCAAACAGCGCCTGCAATGCAGGCCCCGGAGCAGACCACAGGGGCCATGCCCTGCCGGGTCACACCAGGGCATCTTCCAGAGGACTCTCAGGACACTGTTGTGCCAGAACCTGGTCCTGGGTTCCCTGTTCTGCCCACACCCTCAAGGGAAAGGCATGGGTGGTGGCAGGCCCTGGCTGGCCTGGGTCTCAGTCTAAATCTTGAGCCAGTTCTGGGGGCTGACTCGACACCCTGCCCCGAGCCCCCACCCCTTGTGAGCTGGGCCCACAGCCACAGGAGAGCCCCAGGTAGCCCAAGCAACACAGTGCACGCCCAGTCACAGGGCACCCAAGGGGCCAGGCAGGGGGGTGGAGTGAGGCCAGCATTGCCAGCCATCTGCCCTGAGGAGGATGCTGGCACCCTTGGCTCTAAGCTCTCCAACCCCCATAAATCCATAATAAAAATAATCCCTACTTTTCCTAACATGGCCCAGTTCATGAAGTGCCTCCTGATCCGTCATCACACTGATGTGCCAGAGGGGCCGGGGAGGCGCAGCTGACCTTGTTTTATGCGGTCACAACAGGGAGGGCCCAGGAGCCCAAGGCAGGCAGGGAACACCCCCTACCCTGTCCTGCCTTCTGAGTGGGCGCAGAGTCAGCCAGGGGAGGCTGCAGGAGCACCTGCCGAGGGTCTGGCCCCGGCTGCCCTGAGGAGCTGTGGGGTCTGGCCTCTGAAGGGATTGGTTGGTGAGCTGGGCCCTGCCACCCACTATAGCTGCCCAGTCTGCCTGCCTCTGGCCTGGGAATGCAGGGCAGGGGCCAGAGCAGGAAGCAACTCCACCCAGGCCCAGGTGGCCTGGCCAGAACAGGCTCACACTGTGGTGGGTCAGCTCTGGGCCTATCAGTGGACACTGCTGAAGCCCCAGGGGGATGTAGCATCTTGACCCCATCCTTGCTATTCCCACCTGGCCTGGTGACTCCAGCCCATGAGAGGCAGCAGCGGCTGAGATACAACCTAACAGCTGATGGTCTTTGGTGCTGCACAACGTGACAGCCCAGCCCATCCAGCCCAGTGGGAGGACACGTCACCCAGGGCCAGGGCTGACCCCACACTGCTCCCGGATGCATCTGCCACCCCCAGCTGGTGCCCCAGCAATGGAGTGCCCTGCCTGGGGCTGGCAGAGTGTGCCTGATGAAGCCAGATTCCCAGGGGCAACCCAGCCCTGAGGAAGGAGGGCAGAGAGTGGGGGCGGTGCTAGGGCCTGGCCCAGGTGGCAGGAGTGGGCGGGGCACCTGCCTGGGCTCTGCCCGCCTGTGTGCCCGGCTCACTCGTCCATCACTTCGCCCTCGCCATCACTTGGCCCTTGTCATCTTTGCCCTAGCGGTCACCGTCCAAGGTAGGTCTGGTGAACTGGCTCCTTGCGCTGAGCAGGAAACCGAGGCCTGGGGCTCTGGGGCTTGCCCAGGTCCCATTGGGCTGACCTGGACCACCCTAACCCCCGAGGCACCCTTGCCTGTCCGTCTGCGGGCGAGGGCAGCCGCCCTGCGTGTCGCAACGGGCCGGCCTGACCGGTGGAGAGGACCCCTCCGTCCGCGGGCTGGCTGCGTGGGGAGCCGCGTCCGTGCGCCGTGCGCGCCGCCCGCGCCGCCCGCAGTGCCCGCCGAGCCAGCGCCGTGCGCCGAAGCCGGGGGCGCGCAGGGCGGGCGGCGGCGGCTGCGGCTGCGGCGGCTGCGCGCAGGTAAGGCTGGCGGAGACGGGGGAGGGGGCTGCGGACCGGGCTGCCACCGCCCCCAGCCTGGGAAGCCCCCGCCCACGTGACTCTCTGAGAACCTGAGCCGCCGGGTGGGGTGCTGGAACTCGGGGTCTCTAGGAGGGAGCCCCTGCTCGCCCCCCTGGCTGCCCCTGAAAAGTCCCCCTACTCCCCCGGCTCTCACCCTCACTCCTGGCTGACCCTCCCAGGAGCTCCCTCCACGGCCTGAGGCAGGCGAGGTCACACTCCTGGCAGGACCTGCCCACACTTCCCAGGTCAAGGAAGTCGGTTCTCTGGCTCCCAGCCTCAGTGATGAGGGCAGGGGATGGAGGACAGCAAGGGGCTCCCTGGACCCCTTGAGTGGGCTGCAGCAAGGGAGACAGGAGAGACCTGCCCTCACTTGGCCGCAGCTGGCCGGGTTTCCTGAGAGGTCTGAACCTGTGGCTGTGACGGGCGGGCCCACCCTCAGAGACGGGGCCAGGGGCTTGTAGGCAGGTCAGAGAAGACACTGGGCAGTGGGAGGCTGCAGGGGTTCCAAGTCTTGGACCAGCTGCTCAGCCTGGGACCCCAAAATCCCCAGCACTTGCCCCCAGCCCCCTGGCCAGAGATGCAAATAGCAGCCTCACTCTCCTGGCCCCTGGATTAACCTGCCCTCGGGGTGGGCTTTGCCCATGCAAAGCAGGGGGAGGCACGTGTGGGTGTGGGTATGGGTGTGTGTGTCAGGGTCCCACCCCTGACACGATAGGTTTCTGCTACCGGGAGTGGAAAGTGGGTCTTGCAGGTGGAGGGTCAGGGGACCTGTCCTGTTCTGCTATCCCCCAGCACCGGGACATTACCCCACCTTCTCCAACCCACAGGCCCAGCCTTGGTGAGGCTTTGCTGGTGGGTAGGGGTGGAAAGTTTTCTCTGCAGTTAATTAGCCCCATGGGAGGTGGGGGGCAGGCACACAGGGCCTCATTAGTGGGGCCTCAGCTCCAGCCCTGTACCCTGGTGAGTGGCATGGGCTGTGGGGGCCTCCCTAGGCAGTGAGCTGGTGTCAGTGTGATAGGGTGGGGGCTCCCTCCCTCCTTTTGTTGGGGGGGTGGGAGGGGGCTCACCAGTGGGGATGGAGCATCTGGAGGGTGATCGTAGGCTGGCAGCCCCCTGGCTCTGTTGATTCCTCCCATACCTTCTAGCCCCAGGCTGGCCACTTCCGAAGCCCCGGATGCCATGGAGGAGTGGGACGTGCCCCAGATGAAGAAAGAGGTGGAGAGCCTCAAGTACCAGCTGGCCTTCAAGAGGGAGATGTCATCCAAGACTATCCCTGAGTGAGTCCCCAGGACCCCATGGAGCCCCAGCCACACCCCACCCAAGGCCAGCCATGATCTGCATCTCGTTTCCCTGCTCTGTGCTCATTTGTATGAGCCAAAACCACACCCCCACACACTGCCATCAGGCAGCACTTGAGGGAGGGCAGGTGCCCTCGTGCTCACCCTCCCCTCCCCACCCACAGGCTCCTCAAGTGGATTGAGGATGGGATCCCCAAGGACCCCTTCCTGAACCCCGACCTGATGAAGAACAACCCGTGGGTGGAGAAGGGCAAGTGTGCCATCCTGTGAGGCCCCCACACCCGACTCACGCCTCCCTGTGAAGAGAACGACTCTGTAAAAGTGTGACTTTTATAAAGAGTTTTCAAGCATGTACATGCTTTTGTACATTTTCTAGGAGAGAGAAAGCAACACCCAGGCACCCAGTGTGTATCTGGGGACATCTGGTGTGCCTCCAGGGTGGCCGGTGTGGATCCAGGGTGTCTGGCACAACCCCAGAGTGTCCGGCATGGACAGGGGGGTCTGGCATGGCCCCCACAGTGTCCAGCATAGATCCTGGGGACGTCAAGTGTGGGTCAGAGTATCTAGCACAGCGAAGGTGGCAGCATGGATCCTGGGGGCTTGGTGTGGCCCAGGCTACAGCAGGTCCCTGATGTACAGGCTGCGCCGCACGGCGTTGGAGACGCCCTCCTTGAAGCGGAACCAGACGTCGCTCCTGCCCACCGCGGTGCCCATGCGCTGCTCGGCCGTGTCAGTCTCAGGGGCTGCGTGCTCTGCAGGGGCCACACAGTCGTTCCTCCACCCGACCCTGACCCCAGTCCCTCAACCACCCCCACCTCCCCACACACCTGTGCTCGGGGCTGCCGCTCTCTTGACAACCACACGACCGAAGAAGTCCCTCTCGGGCTAAAGGAGATAGGCCGGTCAGGTTCACGGGGGCTGACCCACAGCGGACAGTCCCCTACCTGGTGGGAGGGCCCAGAGGCCATCTCCCAGGGAGGAGGGATCTCATGGCACCTCTGGGCAATGGCCCCCTACCCTCACCCCAGCGCGGACCCTCTCTGCAAGTGTTCCCTCCACCCTTCACCACCCTCACAGTCGCCTGCTCCCTGCCAAGGTCAGGTCCAGGGTGGGAGGTGCCAGCATCCTGCCCAGATGAGAAACTGAAGCCAGGTGGAACCATCATGCTGAACAGCAGGGAGCTGGACCTCCAGGACTTAGAACCATAGGACTCCAAGGTTGCCCACCCAGGCCCACGTGGCCCCACCCTCTGGCCACCTAGCCCCGCCCCCCCATTAGGGTTAGGGTTACCACACCTGCTCCTCCAGGGCAGCTCTCTTCAGGATGCACTCCAGCCGCTGCTCGTGGCTGCATGGGGCAGATGGCTGCGCCCCTTTCTCCCCAGTGCCCCCCAGGGGACCCCCGTCCACCTACAGGAAGTCACGTACAGTGAGCGCTGACTGGGCAGGATCATACCAGGGACGGTGTCCACTCTGAGGGCCCTGCTCTGCTCAGAGCCTGGGGTGGGCTCACCTGGGGGCCGACCCTAGCCCGGGCCAAGGCCTCCACCCGCCGCATCTTCTCCACTTCAATCTCACGGGCAATGAGCTGCTTGGCCTGGTAGGTGAGGGGCTTGCGGGTGGGCAGCTCGGGAAAGCGGCAGACATCCTCCACGTTCCTGCTCTCGGGGTGAGCAGGGCAGGGCAGGACACCAGGGCACTCAGTCAGCAGAGACGGGGCAGGAGCTACTCACTAGCACCGACCCCAACTGCCGGAATGCAACAATGCAGGACCGGGTCCAGTCCTGTCCCTGCCGCATCCAGCTCTGTGGCAGCAGGGGTGTTATCCACTCTGAGCCTCTGTTTCCCCAGCTGTATGTGGGCTTGAAGAGGGCTGCAAGGGAGGAACTGACACAACGTGGCATGGCCTGGATTCAGGCCTGGGGCTGGGTGCTTGGGAACCAGCATCATTACTGCCTCAAGGATCTGCATCTGGACACCACTGCTGCCGGTCCTCCATCCCCACGACCCTCTCAGGACAGAGAAACAGGGCCCTGGGGAGCTCAAGGGCCCTCTGGGGGTAGCTCCTGGGGGCACTGAGAGGCTCTGCAGTTAACCTCAGGTCCCAGGGCTATGCCCACCCCCCAGTCACATCTGGGCAAGGAATGAGCTAGGACTGACTCTCCCACCCTCCAATGGGGAAACAGACTCACACCTCCAAAGCCATGCATTTAGACTCACGCCGAGCAATCACCATGGCACTTGGAGCCCAGCCCCCCAGCCTCCTGCCCCCAGGCACCCCCACCCCAGGTGCTGCACAGACTCACGGCTCCAGCCTGTAGACATACTGCCCGTCGGGCGTGCGCTCCTGGCAGTAGGTGAGGCTATAGGCGAGCATGGTGCCCACGAGGCTGGCCAGCTGCTGTTTCTCTCGGGCGCTGTACAGCTGTGTGCTCACCTGTGGGATGGTGGGCAGCAGGCAGGGGTGCTAAGCGTGGCCAGGGGCCTGCCCCTACCAGGAGCCACAGCCCTTCCAGGCAAGGCACTCACAGGGCGCAGCTTGGGTGCGAGGATGTCCAGGAGCAGGCAGAGGGTGTCCAGGATGAGCGCCTGTGGTGCAGCCCGGCTGCGGGTGGCTGGCGTGATGCCCGACACCAGCGTCTGCATCAGGTTGTGTGTCCGGCTCATCCGATTCTGGGCCTGGGGTGGAGGGCGGACGAGGACCAAGTCACCCAGGGCCCCGGTGTTAGACCCTGGGTATGGGCAGGGCGTGGGGCGCACCTCCTGCTGGCTGGTGGGAAAGGTGATCCTCGGCACATGGCTGGAGGCAAAAAGCAGGTGGAACGCCGGGGGCAGGAAGGGCAGGTAGCGCAGCAGCTGGAAGCTCTGGCCGTGGTGGGCGGCCCGGCTCAGCAGGTCGTCGAAGGCCAGCCAGTCAAGTGCTATGCACACGGCTGCCAAGCTGGAGTCCCGCAGCCTCAGCCGCAAGAAGTTGTCGAAAAGGCCCTGCAGGCAGGTGGACGGGCCAGTTCCCTGAGCCCCTCCAGCCTCACGCCCCCCCAGCCCACAGCACAAGCACCACACAGTGGGACCCTTCCCCTCCCACCTGCCTGCAAGGCCCAGGGTCTCAGGCACAGCTGCAGACACCAGCAAGTAGCCACAGTAGCCCTGGGGATGGGGGTGGCCAGGAAGGCCCACCCTGCCACCCCAACTCTAGTTTGACCAAGACCCTGAGACATGTGAGAAAGAAGCCCCCAACCCCTCCCTAAAGGAAGTTCTGTTCACCAGAATCAAGGACACAGAGCCCCCACTCTTGTTCCATGTGGGAATCCCTCCCCTCCAGCCACCACACTGCCCTCCACACAGTGGATTTCCAGATTTGCAAGGATCCCCAGCTGCTAATCCAAAGCTGCTTAGCCAGGGAGGCAACTTACACCAGGCTTCCCAGGGGATGGGGGGCATCCACCACCTGCTCTCCACCCCACGTGCACCCACGTCCCTGTTCCCACAGCTCACATCCAGAATCCAGCCCCTTCCAGCTACTGCCGGGGCCCTTCAGATAGTTCCCCAAGAGCAGCCAGAGTGACCCCATCATACGACCCCACGCTGGCCATCCCCCTCCTGCCAGGGTCAGTCCTTCCTCCCAGCCTGTCCCTGCTCCCACCCCTTCTCAGAAGCCTCCCGATGCCCCGTGTCCACTCCCCGCCCTCCCACCCGCCTGTTTCTCCTCGGGCTCAGCACCATCTGAAGCGTGTCCCACTCACTGTCTGGGGATGAGAAACACTGCCAGATGCTGGCCTCTTGCCCCTCAGCCCCCCGCAAAGGTTTGAGGTAGAGCATGGTTACCTGGACCACCTTTTCGTGCTCACCCGCAGAAGCGGCCACATGCAAGATGTGGTAGAACCGCTGAGAGGCCGCGGTCAGGGGCACCTTGGTAGCGAGGGGCCCTGAACCCACGTGCCCATCACCGAGCAGGAGTGTGTGGGAGGGCAGGGTCGGGTCCTGACCCATGCGGTGCCTGCAGAGAGGGCCCTGAGGCTGGAGTGGAGCCCCCGCCCCATCACCCTGGACCCAGCCCTGCCCACCCTTTCCCTCCCGGCGGCACCAGCTTGTATACGTTTACAATACCCTGAGATCCCCGAGAAGGGACAGTGAGGGAGGCCGAGGCAGAGCCAAGCAGCCCCCAGGGCCGTGCAGCCTCACACCCCGTCAGCAAAGGCAGAGCTGGCTGGCATCCCAGACTGGGGCTGGCCTACCTACCTCCGGGCCTGGGGCAGCTGGAAGACCTCCTGCCACACGGAGAAGAGGCCCTTGCGCTGGTCCTTGAGGCCAATGCGTGTGGTCTGCACAGCCTGAACGCTCAGCTCCCGCTGGCCCCGCCCATGCAGGAACTGGACATGGGGTGGGGGGTGGGGCGGTGAGAGTGGCTGACCCCCCACCCGTGTAGAAACTAGACACGGCGGTGGTGCGGGGATGGGGGAGTGCCGGCTGCTGGCTGCCCCTGCCCCACCCCCGCCACGGCCACCTGCCCACCTGTAGGGCATTGATGCAGGCGCGGATGTCGTTGTCTGTCTTCTCGCAGAGGGCCGCCAGCGCGCCAGGGTCAGGCCGCATGCCCCGCCGCAGGGAGATCTGCAGGGAAGTGAGAGGGTGAGTGTCCCCCCGACCCCCACCCTAAAGCCACCTCCTCCCTAGAAACAGGGGTCAGCTCCTATCCTATGGGGAGCAAAGGCCGAAAATCCCTGAGGAAGGACCTCGGTCACTGCTTGGAACCACCCACCACCAGAGACCAAACTGTCCCAGCACCTCCACCCCATATCCTGGGACCAGCTGGGAGGCTGGGGGCCTGACGGCAGAGGGAGGGCAGCCCTCACGGACCTCCTGGAGCCGCTGTGTGAGCCTGGAGGGCAGCGTGGGCGGGAAGTGGAGCAGGAGTGCCTGCTGCTTCAGCTGCCGAAGGGAGGGCACGAACCTGTGGGATGAGCGGTTTGCACAGCGAGCCCACCTGGCCAGGGCCGCCAGCGTGCGTGCCACAGCCCAGCAGGCGTGGGGCACGCCCACCCAGCGGAGACCCCGTCCCGCCCCGCCCCACTCACTGGTCATTGCAGATGCAGATGATGGGCCTCATCAGGATCCCCCCTTCCGCCCGGCGCCGCCGCCCCCCGCCCGTGGGCACAGCGGGGCCCCCTGGCTCTGCCTCCTGTCGGCCCTGGCGATCCAAGACGCTCAGGAGAACATTGATGGCAGCCTGAGGGGACATGCAGACGGAGGTGAGTCACAGCCCCCACTGCCTGCCCACCCGGCCGCAGCACACCCAGGAGGCCCACCGTGGGGGCCCCGTCGATCTCATCGATAACCAGGCAGTTGGGCCTCCCACCAGTGCCCAACACCGACTCCATCTGCGTGGCTGCCTCGATGCGCGTTCGGAAGGCCTCAGGGCTGCGGTCATCACTGGAACCAAGAGGCCAGGGAGGGGCTGTCAGGGCAGCCATGGCCTCAGCCAGTGCAGCAGCCATGGCCTCAGCCAGGGCAGCAGCCAGTGTCCCCAGCAGGACAATTTCCCAGGGCAGAGCCACCACGTGTACAGCTCACGGATACTACACAATGCCACCCCATGACACTGTGGCCAAATCCCAGTGAGCCCTGAGGATGGACAATTCCACAGTCCACCACCCCCAGGCTTTCAGGGTTGTATCCCAGGCTCGACCAGACATACCAGGACAAAAGGAGACCTGGCCCTCCCCCAACTCACCTCGCGTTCATTTCCACCACAGAGTACCCAGCATGCCGCGCAATCACATGGGCCAGGGTGGTCTTGCCCAGCCCTGGGGGCCCACACAGCAGCGCCACCTGCAGCCGAGGCAGGAGAAAACGTGCTGTAACCCACACCACCTCACGGACTCTGGGAGACCCTGACCCAACCGCCAGAGACTGAAAATCCTATCCCGTGAAGCTCAGTGCTAAGAGATGTTCTCCTGCCCTGCCCCAGTCACCAAAGGAAAACAAGCCCCTGCCTGCTGGTCGTGCAGAGCGAGAATAAAGCCTTGCCTGAAGTGAGTTACGTTTGTACCTGACAAGGACACGGCTGTTACTGACGTGACTAACAGCCAGAACCCACCCACAGTCCAGCATAATCACTGTGGGGAGGTGCAGGGCCCTGCAAGGAGTGCTAGTCTTATCTAAGTCATTAGAAGAAAGGACTCAATTCCCAGCTCACGTTGCTGACACTCCTCACCTAGACCCTGACATCGTTCCACCTACACCCTCGGGGGCAGTAAATGTGCCTCATGGCCCCCAGAGGCTGCAATGGTGCCAGCCATCCAGAGAACAGCCCACAGCCAGGTGGGCTCACCTTCTGCCGGGGCCGCCCGCTTGGATCCAGCTCAGCCTCCAGCATCTCCTCTAGCACCTGTCCGTGGCTTTTCCACTTGCTGGAGGCTGTGGCCTCCTTGCCACCACGGGCCGGTTCCACACTGGGTCTGGGCTTCCGGGTGGGCCGCTCTCGGCCAAACACCACCAAGTCCCACAGCTTCAGCCACTTGAGGAGGCAGCGGTTGGTGAACTGCAAGAAGAGAGGCCCAGCCTGGGGGGGCGGCCACCAGCACCAAGGACTCCTAGTGCCTGCCCCTCATGTCACCCTACTGTCATGAGCCCAAAGACACACACAGTGATGCTGAGGCTGAATGACAAGTGATGACCGGTGAAAGGCTCTGTACTGGCCTCAGTTTCCCCACCTACAATTCAACGAGGCTGGTCAAATTCCTTCTCCAAATCCTGACCCCTCTGTGGGCTGGCAAAATGAAGACCTGCTAGGCCCTAAGTACTTTTCTCTCGGCAACAAAGAAGCCAGTCACACTTCACTTAAGCAAAAACAGGACCTCACGTCGTCACTGAGCAGCTCCGTATAGCGTTGGGGTGCGAACTCATCCACCCAGAGGCAATGCTGGGAAGCATCTTGGCTGTCAGCGGGCTCCTCCTCAGAGGCCCCCGAGGGCTGGGGCCCCTCCTCCACCTCCTCTGACCTAAGACTGAAGAGCATTGTGCCCTGAGCCACTGGGCCTTAACCCCATGCAGGGATCACGCCCCCCAGAATACATGCTGGTGGTCAGCAATCCAAGGACCGGTGAGGACCTCAGAGGTGGAGGGGCCCACTGTGTCACCTGCACAGTGTGTCCGAGAGCCGCTGGGCCTCTTCCAGCAGTCGCTGCCGCCGCTGTGCAGACAATGGGGTTGGAATCAGGATGGCTCAGCCAGCCATTCACCCCTGAGCTACCTCTCCCTTCCCAGCAAACCCCAGCAGACCCTACCTCGCTGTCGATCTTCTCCTTCAGGGAGGCAAAGGACACACCCAGCAGATCCAGCTGGCCACGGCCACGCCACCGGATGTCAAGAAGAGGGCTCTGCAGGGAAGGGAGAGCATCAGTCACCCTCCTCTAGGTTATGGGATTTCTACAACCCCCCTCCCAACAGTGCTCAGGGACCTAGATGGCATTTCCTAGCATCAACGGGCCACAAGGAGCCCCTTCTCACCAGGGACCCCAAGGGATCATTGGAATGGCAGCAGATCTAAGGTGGAGGAGAAGAGAAAAGAAGAAAACAAGTAAAAAGAAGAAGAAGAAGAAAAAAGAAGAGAAAGAGAAGGAAAGTGAAGGAGAAAGATGGCTCTCCCGAGTGGAAGACTAGAGGCCAGATGGACCTCTAGAGGGGTTCCCAGGGTCAGGGTAGGGGATGTGATGTCCAGGCCCCCGCTCGTGTCTGCACAGCACCCACCTGGACCCCAGTGCCCACTGGGTCAGCCTGAAGCACTAGAAAGGCCCGGTTGCCGTCAGTGGAGGTCACGTTGATGTAGTCCTCCAAGACAGGGGGCCGCCTCAGGACAGGATTGCGGGCGGCTGGCGAGGCCTTAGTGAGACCCACATCAGCCCCAGTGTCCAAGGGCCTGGGAAGGGACCATGACCATCTTGGGGATTCCTGGGGAAGGGACTTGGATCCACTGCTGGCTACCCAGCCCTCCCACAGACCCCCAATCCCCAGCCCTCACGACCTTGTCGAAGAAACCAGATCCTTCCAAGATACTGAGATACCTGTACCCCAAGCTACACACCCCTTGCCCCATAGTTCAGCAGGGACCTCAGGACTCGGTGGGGGGGTGATGTCCTGAGTCGGGGAGTCAGGAGGCAGCGGCTCTTCCATCTCATCGGACCTGAAGTTCAGTCTCCTGGCAGCCTCCAGCCTGGACCGTTTGACTTTGGGGGCTGGGGAGACACATGGAAGGAACAGAGGTCCTTCTCCAGCCTCGAACCCCACCCCTATGCTCTGGGCCCCCGGAAAACATACTAGGGGGCAGGGGTCTGTCCCCGTGGATGTCAGCGGCCAGCTGCCTCTTCCTGGCACCGCCCTTGCTGTTCCTTGGAGGTCCGCCTGGAGAGCAGTGAGTGGCAGCGTTCCCTCCAGCAATGGTCTCCTCGAACGTCAGGCGGGGCCGGCCCACAGTGGGCCAGGGGTCCCTGGAAGGTGACGTGGCGGTTGTCCCTGCGGAGAGAAAACTCACAGCAGTCATGCAGAGCATTTCGTCTGCACACAGTCACAGCCCCCGAGGTCGGCGGCGCTGCAGGGCCCTGCTCTCTCTCAGGTTGTTGCTGCCTCCCGGCCTTCGCGCCTCCCCTCCGAGCAGCCCTCCTGGAATCCCCGGGTGGGCCAGACCCCTGTCGAGCTACGGGGGACGAGGCCACGGCAGTGCCCACGCCTACCTTCCAGCTCGGCCAGCACCTCGAGCTCGGCCGCGAACTGGCTGTGGAAGTCATCCTCGACGCCGTACAGCTCCTGCTCGTAGTCCTCCATGGCCGCCCGCCGCCGGCTGCGAACCTCCCGCGCCCAGCGCGCAGCTCCTGCCCAAAGCGACCCGGCGCCGCCAATCAACGGCCGGCGTATCCGGACGCTCGCCATTGGTCAGCGGGAGGGGCGGGGCGTGGGCGGGGCTGCGCGCGCAGGCCGGGCGGGGCTGAGTCCGTACGTTGGAGCTGGAGCGGCGGGATCCGGGCGCTCTCCATTGGTCAGCACGGCCGCCCGTCTGCGCCGTGGGCGGGACGTGGGCGGGACGTGGGCGGGACTGAGCGCCCAGGCTGGGCCCGGCGAGGCGCACCTCTGTGGTCCAAGTGACTGCTCCGGGGCTGCTGGGCCACGAGGCAGGGAGACGCGAGGGCAGGAGCCAGGGCCGGGCAGCAGCATCGGGGGCCCAGACGGCGCAGCTCAGCTGCAGGTCGATCTCGGAATGGGCAGGGGCGCGGGAAGTGTTCGCAGTGGAGTCCGCCGGGCACCTCTCCGCCTGTGCCCATCAGACGCGGGAGGCGAGGGTTCCTCGGAGGGGAGGCAGGGCAGGGGACGTCTACGTGGGAGAGGGAGAGCCCCATGCCCTGCCCTGCACCCCACCCCACTCAGGAAAAGGCTCCTATCGCGCGTCCGTGGCCCGTCCGGGAAGGGTCCGTGGGAGCAGGCTGGAGGGCAAGACTGCTTCTCCCCAGGCCCGGGTCTGGCAGGACTAACCCACAGCCAGAGCCTAGGGCAACACTAGCTCCCCTGATATTGGCCAGACCCCTGCTACTTGACACCCTGCTACTTGACTCAGAGGTGGGAGTGCAGGCACACAGTAGGTCTGCAAGCTTGCCTGACACAGCCTCGGTGGCTTCAGACCCAGGGCCCTGGGGAGCAGGGGTGTCCACGCCAGGTGGGCAGGACCCTGATGTGGGCTGGGCACCCCATGACCCCGCTCCATGCACTTGCCCTGCACTGCAGCCACCATGGAGCCAGGCAGCGTGGAGAACCTGTGTGTCGTGTACCGGAGCCGTGACTTCCTGGTGGTGAACAAGCACTGGGATGTGCGCATCGACAGCAAGTCCTGGTGGGAGACGCTGACCCTCCAGAAGCAGCTGCGGCACCGCTTCCCAGAGCTGGCCGACCCTGACACCTGCTACGGGTTCAGGTACCCACAGCAGCCTCCGTCGGTGGGAAGCGGCCCACAGCCCAGCCACCACTGATCCTCTGCCCCATGCCAGGTTCTGCCACCAACTGGACTTCTCCACCAGCGGGGCACTCTGTGTGGCCCTGAACAAGGCAGCCGCAGGCAGTGCCTACAGGTGCTTCAAGGACCGGAGAGTCACCAAGGCTTATCTGGCTCTGGTAAGGCCCAGCTGGTCCTTGGAGCACGAGACTCCAACACTCAATCCACTTTGATAGCCTCTGGCTGTCAGATGGGTTTCCCAGCAGTGGTGGGTGACCCCGTGAGCAGCGTGTGACCCCCTTCCTGGCAGGTGCGGGGGCACGTCCAGGAGAGCCGAATGACCATCAGCTATGCTATTGGCAAGAACAGCACAGAAGGCCGGACCCACACCATGTGCATTGAAGGCACACAGGGTACGGAGGGCAGGGGGTGGGGGCCAGGGGCACGGTCGTCCAGTGGGGACCCTGGGTAGGCTGGGGCAACCCGGGCAGGCGACCTGGGATTGGGGTGGACTCAGCCATGGAGCTGGCCCAGCCAACTCTCTGGGCTTTCCTTGCTCCCTTCAGGCTGTGAGAACCCAAAACCAAGCCTCACTGAGCTGGTGGTCCTGGAACACGGACTGTATGCAGGTGATCCTGTCTCCAAAGTGCTGTTGCAGCCTCTCACGGGTGTGTCCAGGGCGCGTGTGCCCAGGTCTCCTTGCTATCTGCTGATGGTGTCCTGCCTTGGGCATCTCCTGGCACAGGGCACCAAAGTGTCCCCATCACACAGGAAAGGAACCTGCCCAGGGTCTCCCAGCATTGCTGGCCAGGCTGACTCCTCCCCCACACTCAGCCTCACAGCCTGCAGCCTCTTGCCCTGTACGAGGTCGCTCTGGCCTGGGTTCTCTAGTTGATCGAGCATCGCCCTGGCCTCACCAGAGGCAACCCCAGAAGTCGCTTCTGTTCTGAGTTCTGACGTCTTTGTGGCATGAAACAGGGAGGTCTGCTGCCCCCAGGGGTTGTGTGAGGCTTCAAGGACGGTGCTGGGCATGATGTGAATGGGTAGGGGGTGGGCATGGGGTGGCGCCCCCACCTGACTGGCCCCCTCTCCTCCCCAAAGGACGGACGCACCAGCTGCGCGTGCACTGCAGCGCCCTGGGCCACCCCATCGTGGGGGACCAGACCTATGGCCAGGCCTCGAACCAGGAGGACCAGCCCTTCCGCATGATGCTCCACGCCTTCTACCTGCGCATCCCCACATGCACCGAGTGCGTGGAGGCCTGCACGCCCGACCCCTTCGTGCCCACCCTCGATGCCTGCTGGAGCCCCCACACCCTGGTGCAGCCACTGGACGAGCTCGTCCAGGTCCTGCGGGCTGCCCCAGACCCTGACCCCACAGAAGGGGGCCCCAGGCCCTGCAGCCCCTCCACGCCCCTGCCCGGGCCGGGCCGGCCCCCACCGCCCCCTGCCAAGCTCCCTGAGACAGAAGCACAGCGGGCCTCCTGCCTGAAGTGGCTGTCGGAGTGGACGCTGGAGCCGGACAACTGAGAGCATCGTGCTGGGGTGGGGATGGCAGGCTGGGACTCCAACGGTTGGGGGCTGCAGGTCAGAGTCCTGGACACATCCCTGCAATGGCCAGGCCTGGCCAGCAGGGGGAGCCAGGCAGCTGCAATTCCAGAGGATTAAGCTCTTGGGCTGTGGGACCCACATGGGCCTCCCTCCCAACACCCCAACCCCCACAAACTGCCCCAGAGCACCTCCCTGGTTCTAGAGCCTCAACCCCAGGAACTTATTTGTAGACTTGATCGGGGTCACTCTGGAAGAGGCAGAGCCAGGACCTGGGCCACCCTCAAGGTGGGCTCCTCCTGGGCCCCCAGCCAACACCCCAGAGCACCGTGCTCCACGCTGCTTTGCTTGGACCCTCTGTGGCCATCACCCCAGCCTGGCTGGGTTCTCCATCTGCAGACCTCAACCCTCCTTGCTAGGCCCGTCTGACCTTGTGCCTTTGCTTCTGCTAGACTCTGCCCCCTCCACCTGCATCCTGAGCGTCTCACATGGAGGTGGGTGTGGGCCACACTCCTCAGCCCCCACCTCACGTGCCATCCCTCCAGGCCTGCCCTGAGCGCTGCTCCATGGGGTCTTCCGGGCCCCTAATTGCGGCTGCTGCCTCCGTCACCTGCCTGGCAATTTCCAGGCAGGACCTCAGCCTGAGAGCAAGGGCAGCCCACCAGCCCCCCCCCTCCATCCCCACAACACGGCCACGCCTCCCCAGCCATAGCTGAGCTCTGAGAACTGGGAATAAACGCTCAATGACTGACCCTGCAAGTGACCATGAATGTGCCTGATGTGGGGATTTCAGGGGGCTCACACCCCCACCCCATCCCTTCACTGGACAGACCTTTGCCCTAGACCCCAACAGGAGCCAGGACGGACCTTATAATCCTAGCTGCTGACCTGCCCACCCCCCATTCAGTGAACACCCTGCAGCCCTGGTGTGGGGGCTGGGCTCTGAGTAGGGGACAGAGCTGGGTCAGCTGCATCCCTGGAGGACCCCAAGACCCACAGCCAAAACCATCAGAGCATCCACCTGGTCCCACCAGTGTTCTCCGTAGAGCTGCTGCCCTCACAGTGCAAACCTTGGGGCCCTCCACCACCTCAGAATGCCACGGGAGGGCTGGCGCCTAGGCCTCCAGCCAGTTTGAGGTCACACACCATGTCCCTGTGCCCAACTAGGCTAGGCCCCTCCTCTTGGCCGGCCAAGGCAGACAGGCCCTATTGTGGGGCTCCTGGGCTCACCCCACCTGTAACCACAGCAAGCTCTCAGCCCGGGTGGAGCCAGAGGCAGCCCCCCACCCCACCCCCACCCCGCATGGGCCCTCTGCAGAGACCCAGGTCCCAGCCTCTGCTCCCCCGTCTCCTCATCTGTAACAGGATCGGAGGGACCCACGGGGCAGCAGCCCGGACAGATGGATGGCTACTGTGATGTGCCCAGCACAACCCTTTCTCGTCAGATGGGGGCGGGGTGGGAGAGCATCACCTTCCTGGCACTCCCAGCACCTCACCTCCTTGCTGAGGACTGCCCCACCTCTCCCCCCACCACCCTCCGCTCCACCTCCTTCCCACTACCTTCAACCTCTGCCCTCCTCTCCCCGCCACCATCTGCCCCCCCACACCCTAATGCCCTTCTCTGCCATCAACTCTTACCTGTTTCACCCCCTTCTCAGCATTTCACCACTGTCTCCTCCTTAGGTCCCTGCGGAGCATCAGCCCCTCACCCACAGCGTGGCCCGGCCCACAGACCCTGCTCAGTGAGTGTGTATAGAGAATGAAAGAATGGTCCCCAAAGGACTCAGGGCCGTGAGCCCACTTTGTGCAGGCTTCCCGCCTCTCCCCACGCCCCCTCCTCACGGCCCCACCCCCTACACCTCTGGGCGGTGCTCAGCCACTGTCATGCCTGCTGTTGCCACACGGGGTCACTGCTGACCCCGGCCTCTCATAGCCCTGTCCTCTTGAGACTGCGGTGACCTTTGGAAGTTCCATTTCCCATGGACACACCCAGCTGCTTCCCAACTGCTGGCACCTGCCAGAGGGTCTGGACCTACAGGGGCTGTGGCCAAGCCAGGACCACCCTGACAGCCCTTCCTTCCAGGGGCCCCCAGGGGCCCCTCCCCACCCAGCTCAGGCAGGGCTACCCCACAACACCCCAAAGGGTGGCCAGGTCTTCCTCTCTGTGCCCCAGCGACTGGCCACATGTTGGGGCCCTCCCTGGGGCACAGGTCCTGAACTCTGGAGGGCGTTTCTCATGCCAGGACAGAGAGAATCATTTTTCTTCAGCTGGCTGGCATCATTGCTGTCCCCCCGCTCAGGTCCCAGGAAGCTGCTGGTGAGGCCAGGGAGCCAAGGGTCACCCCCATCCCCACCCTTCTGTAGCCAGAAGTCTCGGCTGGGCCAGGAACCAGCCTCCAGGGCCCCCACCCCCGACCCCAGCCACAGGGACGGGAGCACACAGCCGACGCCACCACGTGGCCCTGGGGCTCCAGCCCCTGCTTACTGCCAAATGGCCTGAGGAGGTCAGCCAGGTTGGGGCCTTGGGACGACCCTGACTGATGGTCTGCAGGGTAGGACCAGTTGGCTGAGGAGGGGCCTAGGGGAGAGCGGAGGGCAGGCGTGACCCGCCGCAGAGCACTGACCTGGGCATGACAGCCTGGCTCAGGGCCCATGGGCTGAGCCTGCAGAGCAAGCGACAAGACAGACAGGAAGAGGGGTAGACTGGACAGACAGACAGGCAGCCACGGAGGGAGGGAAGGCAGGATGGAAGGGCAACAGGGGCCCATGGGTAGGAACTGCCCTGGGGATGTTCCATGTATATTTCCCCTCTCCCCACAGCCTGGCTCCTCCCCCTGAAGAGCCCTGTCAGCCCCTCTGAGAACCCCCAGGACCACAGATCCCGACCTTGCTCCCTACAGGTATGCTGCCTCTCCCGTTGGCCCCAGGACATGGGGTCCACCCAGTCCATCTGCCCCCCACAGCCTACTGTGGGGCAGCCCGTGAGCGGTCATGCTCCAGGGGGCACAATGCCGGCAGGTCAGGAGCACACCCAAGTGCCCAACCCTGCCCCTGCTCACTCTGTGTGGACAGGGACAAGCCGTCAGCCAGCGTGGGCCTCAGTCTCCTCGTGTGTACGGCAAGCATTGTGCCGTGCTGCTGGCGGGGGCCGGATTCCACGAGCAGTACAGGACAGAGCTGGGGATGGGTGTGACTCTCTACAGCCCAGCACTTGCTCTGTTGCTGTGGTCATTTGTCCACCCGGGGCCTTGGGCTTCCCTAGAGGCCAAACCCAAAAGGGGCAGCCAGCATCTGGCCTCCTGCACTCACTGGCCTATGGGGAGTGTCCTTCAGCCAGGCCTGGACCCTGAGGTGGGTGGAGACCCCACCACCAAGTGACATCCCACCCCCACAGACCCCTCAGCACCCAGAGCTCCAGCAAGCCCTCAGCCAAAACTGACTGCTCCAGAGCTGACCAGCCAGCCTCAGGGGGTCAGTGCTAGAGCCCAGGGTGAGCCTGCCCACCTCCAGCGGGACCTGCTCCCTGGACCCCGCCCCCCTCCAGACCCTGGGGGTCACTGTCCTCACTGCCACACACCCTGCCAGATGGAGCTGAGCTGGCCCTCCTGGTGGCCAAGGGGCCCTTGGAAGCCCATCCTGGGCCAGCTGGACGGGGAGTCACTGGACAGTTTTCAGGGGAGAGGGGCTGTCACCACAAGCTCTGGGTGCCCTCCAGCTCTAGATGCTGCAGCTGGACTCCCATGGGGCCTATCCAGGGGCCGGGGAGCGATCCTCAGCTGGTCCCTCCAGCTGCCGGTCCCCCAGGGTCAGCACCTCTGCTTGTCTGCGGGGCTGGCTCGATGGGCATGTGTGGCCCTTGATGCAGGTGGTAGTTGTTCAGCGGCTGAACCCATGTCATGGGGGCTCAAGGCCCCAGAGCCCTCTTGGCCCTGCCAAGCAGAGGCAGATGTGGTGAAAGCTGGGGCCAAGGGCCAGCCTGGGGCACCCAGCCCACCCCACCTCAGCTGGGGAAGAAGTGTCTGTGGGCATCTTCATTCCCAACCCTCCCGCAGCCACACCTCCTGCTCTGCCTTGGAGACCTGCCCTGTGGAGCCGTCCCTGTCCTGGGCCCCAGGGTGCTGGGCCCCAGGGCCACATGTGTGGCAGGCACAGCTCTCCCATTGAGGCTGCCTGCACACCCTCCCTGCCCCACAGTGCACACACGTGTGGACATGCATAGCCGGCTCTGCTCCAGTATCCACAGTACAGAAACACGCCACATGTCACTCAACCCAGGCCCCACAGTGGGGCCACGAGTGCCTAAGATCCCTGCAGGGGACACATGAACCACATGCACCACGTGTGCACATAGATGTGTGTGCTCCTCGGTGCACACGGATGTGCATGTGTGCTCACACATGGATGCCAGCACACGTCAAGTGCAGGTGTACACGTGTACAAACGCAGGTGCGACCCTCAGGGCAAGGTCATGGCTGAGCCAGGCCCCCCAGGGGAGGGGTATGTGCTGGGCAGCCGCCAACTGGGAGCTAAGCCTCCCGCTCCTGTGAGGCTGGGGAGCAGGTGCCCACTGCTCTTGGGGCCTCCAGGGGCTGACAAGGCTGCATCACCTGGTATAGCCCCAGCCCCTCCCCTACACATCTGCCTGGCAGGCGTCACTGCAGGAGTGGGTGGCTGGCAGGGCAGGGTGCTGAGCGAGCTATGGAGGTGAGCGGAGACCATGGTGCCCCCACCCTGCACCACCCCTGCGCCCCGAAGCTCAGTTGCAGGGGCTGACACAGAGCAGGGTGGGACCACTGGTGTCTGGACTCCTGGCACCACATCTACAATATCCCCGCTTCTGATATCTGCCGCCTGGACCTGGAGCAGCCTCCTTCTAGGACAGACAGATTTCTTGGTGCTCAGGTGGGGGGCGGGGGTGGGACGGGAGCCGCGACCAACTGGACGCACAGGGCCCCAGCTGTGAGTCTGGCCTCTGTGTGGCCCTGGGCAGGTAGCTGAGCCCCTCTGAGCCTCCGTCTTGGCCCCCACTTGGGGCGGTTACCTCCCCATCTTCCTCCTGGGCCATGCAGAGTCCAGAGGCGCACAGGTGCCCCAAGCCAGCAGCCCGTGCAAGGCCGTGGTCCAGGAGCCAGCAGTGTGGACCAGGCTCCCTGGCGCAACCTCCTCCCCAGGCCTCAGTTTCGGTCTCCACCACGGCCAGAGCTGCCAGCAGGCTGCAGCATGGGCTGTGCCCGGGGCCAGGTCTCACTGGGCATCCGAGGCCCTGAGAAGGGAAGGGGGCTGCCTGGGCTGCCTGGTGTGGGGGTGAAGCTGGGGCTGCACCAGGGTAGGTTGGGGGCCAGCAGGCCTCTCACCCCAGCTGCTGCAGGGACTCACTGGGACCGCCGCCCACCCCCACCTCCGAGCTGTTGAGAAAGCTGTCCACTGGAGACACAGCAGCCCAGCTGCAGATCCCCTGAGCCCTGACCTGTGATAAGAAAGCCGGGATTTGGCCTGGCTCCCCCTCTGCTGCTCCCTTTTGTTCCAGAGACACATTGCTTGTGGGTTGTGCCCTCCTGAAAGACGAAGAGACACGGCTGCAGCCCAAGGTTCGGGGTCGCCTGCCCTGCATGGCACCTGTCCTGTGTGACCCTGGGTGGTGACCTCCCCTCTGTACCCTGCCCCGGCCTCACCACCTCCTGTCTCCTCTCCAGCTTGACCCAGACCCGCTGCCTGTGACCCCGGTGCCTTCCTGCCAGGATGACCAGTGGGCATCACACAGCCATGGGCCCCAGAGCAGGTGAGATGACTCTCCCTCCCCTCTTGGGGGGCAGCTCCCATGGCCGGCTCCTCGGGGTAGCAGGACCACCCTCTTTCCTCCTGAGCCTCTGCTGGGGGTCCGGGAAGGGAAGGGGGTGGCACAGATGGGGCACTGCGGGTGGGGGTTCTGTTGGGGACAAGGCAGGGACAAGGCGGGCCATGGCTAGAAGGGACTGAGCAACCGAGGAGCAGGAGAAGGTGGTAGCTGACCCCTGTCCCTCTGCTCGGGGGTTTCAGGGCTCAGACTGTGAAGACAGAGCCACAGGGGGTGGAGGGAGAAGGTGCACACACGTGGACACTGGTAGGCATGCATACAGGCCATCACATAGGTGTGTACATACTTCCAGACACACAGTCACATGCCACCAGCTACACATCGTCACAGAATGTATACACTGCCACACCAGCAGGCACACAGGTCTACTGTGTAGTCATGCATGCCATCCCACACATGTACACCTCACCATACTTGTGTATACACCACCACCACTGTACACAGGCATACAGCATCAGACAGTCGTGTATACAGGTAGACACACTGCCACATATGTTCACCTGGTCACACAGCACGCTCAGACCCAGGCTGGCACACAGGTGACCAGCACCGTGGAGCTCCCAAGGACTCCGTATTGGGGCTGTCACAGGCCCACCCGGGACACAGGGAGCCCTGGGGAGACCGACACTGGACGCTCCCACACAGATGCTTATGGCCTGTTCTGTTCCAAGTGCCCTGGTGAGCCCAGGCCTTGCCTTCCTGGTGTCACTCACTGCCCACTGCTCTCATCCCCAGGCCGAGGGTGCCACCCAGGGAGGGCTGGATGTCAGCAGGGCCAACATGTGGGCCAGGTGAGTGCAGGTTCGGAGTCACAATCAAGTTTCCCCAACAGATTCCTTGGCAGGCCTGGGTGGGGGTGAGAAGGAGGGACCATCTCCAGGGTCTGCATTTGACGGCCCAGACATGGCCGGGGCAGGACTGACTCCCGGCTCCTATATGGGGGGCCTGGCCCTGCCTGCCCAGGTCACTCGCTGGAGATGGCTCAGGGCAGCTGGTGTCCTTCATCAGAGTCACACCCACATGGCTGGGACAGGACCCCAGGCCATCGCGGCTGGCTGGGGCCCGGGTCCCCCACCTCGGCCCGGCAGACAATCACTTTTTGTTTTTCTGGGGGGTGCCACGTCATGCGGCATGTGGGATCTTAGTTCCCCGACCAGGGATCAAACCCACACCCCTTGCATTGGAAGCACGGAGTCTTAACCACTGGACTGCCAGGGAAGTCCCGACAATCACTTCTTGTCCTGAGGCCTCTCAGCTTTCTTCTTTCTGCCCCAAGCTTTGCTGCCCTCTCAGGTCCCAAACTGAGACTCTGTCCTGGTGGGGGTTGGAGGCCACTGATCTGCCATCAATCAATTGATCAGTCAGTTGACTGATCAGGCAGGGCTGGAGGCCAAGCTGGACCAGCTGGGCCCAGGCTAAGGTCTCATGAGACCTGACCCTCCCCTGTGCACGGATCTTACTAGATTCACATCATGAGGAAGGCCTGGCTGCAGACACCCAACAGGTGCCCTTCAAAACCTCAGCCATCGCTGGGACCTCAGAGCCCCAAGCTCTGGAACTGGGCCTCAACCAGACCCTGAGTCTGGACAGGGGCCACTTTTAAGCCCTGCTCATAGCTCAGAGCCCAGCACCAACAGGGCGCCCTCGGGGGAAATGTGTGGTATGCATGTGCTGACAGCCAGAGCCTTGCTGTCCACACCTCCTGGGTCTCTCACCCCCACCCTGTGTTGAGGAGTCTGACCTCCACCCCAAATGCTGCAGTCTGGGACCCCTACTCCCTCTGCCCCTCACTGTCTATCTCCTTTCTGCCCAGTGCCAACACCTCCCTCCTGCAAGGCTTCTGGTGCCAGCCGGCCAGTCAGCTAGCCCGGGACCAGCTTGCCACTCTGATCAGGAGGATGGAGACGCAGCATGTCCTCCTCGGAGCCTGGCAGGTCAGCGGCGGCCCTTACCAAGACTGCCTGGGTGTCGAGGGCAAGGGCAGACTCCCTGGAGAAGGGCCCCAGGGACGGGCAGGAAGGGAGGCATCCCTGGCAGAGGACCCAGGCAGCAAGGGCCAGGAATGTGGTGCCAGGACACGGAGTAGCTCTCCTGAGCACAAGGGCCCTGTGCTGGAGAGCTGCACGATTGTCTCTAGCTGACACAAGATGCGCCCCTCAGGTCACCCAGCGGACAGGAAGTTAGCCTCTGAGGTGGGCTTCTCTCTCCCCTGGATGATGTTCCAGTGTGGCCCACTTTGGACTGTTTCCAGGACTTCTCACCAATCACCCACAGACTCCTGCCTCTTGTTCTTGGTTTGGTGAGGGCTTGCCTACCTGGCCTCCATCTGGCACCTGTGGCAGGTCCTCCAGGCTCCCCGAGGGTGAGGGATCTTCCAGCCTGCTGGCCTCTCCTCCACTTGGGCTGTGAGAGGGGCCAGCTGAGCTCACCTGGACCCACAGCTGACCCAAGCGTCACCAGTCCCTGAGTTTAATAAAAGAAAGGAAGGAAAGAAAGCTATTGTCTTATTATAAAATTAATATAAAATTAGTAATAAATCTGAAACAACCCCAAAGTAGGCCAAGTAAGTGGGACAAGACGTCCAGGCAGGGGTGCATTGGATGAGCAGATCCTCAGTGAGCCAATGTGGTGCAGTGGGGGCTGGGGTGGGCAAGGGCCTGATGCCAGAGGAGAGGGGGCTCTCAAGCTGGGTTTGACCTGTTCTGAGGCCGGTTCTCGTTGTGGAGGTTGAGGCAGGAAGAGGAAAACATGAAGTCCAGGGACAGAGAGCCAGCAGGCAGAAGGAGGGGACGGGTGGACGTGGGGACAGGGGCTGAGAGGTAGGTGGGGGGCCCTAAGATGGGCAGAGGGAAAGGGGCTGGGCAAGCCCCCGGCCGGGCAAGGAAGTGACACGCTGCCTGCCCTGCCCAGCTCAGCTGTCTGGCCAACCTGGCCGCCCGGCAAGGCCTCCAGGGCGACTTTGAGCTCCACCCCACCAACCTGCTGCTCCTCTACGAATGAGTGCCCCTCCCCGCCCAGCGCCCAGCCGCGTGGGCTGAGCATGCTCCCCAGGGACACCTCAGTCACTCGGAGGCCCCCCAGTTTCCCCCCCTCCTGACAGCCCCCCAACCTTCCCACAGACTGACACAGGTGAGGGAAGCCGACTGCCAGGCCTTCGTCCGCCGCACAGCCCAGGGCAACACAGGGCTGCTGACCAACCTGCCCGACCAGAAGGCCACCCTGCGGCACAGGGCCCTGGCCTGCCTGGTAGGCACCGTGGGCCGGCCAGGCCAGGACAGGACAGGTGACGGGCAGTGGGACCAGGCTCATGCTGACCTGCTGTCCTGCAGGGAGGGCCCCGCCCGAGCCTCAGCACCTCCGACCTGCTGCTCCTCGGGGTCCTGGTGTGTGACACAGATGCATCCAGCATCATGGCTGCAGACCCCCATGTGCTGCAGAACCTGCGGCGCTGTCCCCAGCTGATGGCCGCCCTCAACAGGCTGCTGGCCAGCGGCAGGACCAGGCTCGGGTGAGTGGGGGCCCATGCCATCTGCCCAGGCTTCCCCTCCTCCACCTGATAGAGGAGGCAGCCTGGAGATCAATGTCCACAGCCCCACTGACCTCTAACCTCTGACCCAGCTCCCACCCCACTCTGACCCTGCAGCCTATGGGGTATGGGTTTGAGGTGCCCAGAGGCCTGGGGTGGGAGAGTCTCTGCTGGGCAGGCCCTGGGAATGGCACTCAGGGAGGGTAGGCGGTCTGAGGGGTCTGGGTGCTGTTCAGGGCCCGACACAGAGCCCCCTTCGCACACCAGGCCCTCTGGCTCCTGGAACCTGGAGGGGCTGCAGGCTCTGGGACCCCTAGCCACCTACATCAGCCCCAGCCTGTGGATGCAGCTGCAGGAGGTAGGGCAGCACCCCGGGGCGGGTGGGGATCCAGCCAACCTTCCACCAGCCTGCCCAGGCCTGATGGTCGGCCGGCAGCCACTCTGATGCCCAACTGCTGTCCCCAGTCGCTCCCCGTCACAGAGTTTCTGTCTGTGGGGAGGAAGGAGGGAACAGGTAGCCCTGGTGGCCCTCCCCAGGGTGTGGACTCTCCAGGCCCGCCCGCCAGGCCGTGGGCCTAGACTTCTTTGGCAGCATAGTGGCCATAGTGGCCACGGGCAGGGCAGCTCAGCCAGTGTGATGCCAGGCGCTTTGGCACTGGCTTCCTCGAGGCCAAGGCCAAGTTGGTACCCTCACGGCCCAAGCGGGACACAGGTCAGTGTGGCCACCATGGCCTGGGAATTTCACATCTCCCCCTGCTCGGGCTCCTCATCCCGGAGTGGGGGCACCAGAGGCATGGCACCCTCTGCCTGGACCTCCTGAGCTTGGCCCAGGGTCTCTGTCCAGGTTGAGGGGAGTGGTCAGAGTCTGGTGGGGCTGGACTGGGAGTTGAGACCAAGGTCAGGGTTGAGTCAGTCTGGTCCAGGCCAAGTTTTTGGCTAGGAGTCAAGCTTGGGAAGGGTCAAGGTCAGGAGTGAGGTGGGGCCCAAAGTCAGCAGCAGTGCTGACCAGCTGGGTCCTCAACACCCGTACCCCACCTTGCCACAGGGAGACCCTGCATCCCTGGCAACATCACTGCAGCCACGCTGCACAATGACCTCTTCCTGGTACGCTACGACTGCGTGCAGCTCGAGTCCTGCCTGGGCAGCCGTGTGCTCAGGGCCAACCTGGACCCCCTGCTGCAGCACCCACTGCCCACCCAGTGCCAGAAAGTCGTCAAGGCCAAGCTGGCTTAGGTGCGCCAGCGACCGGCAGTGGGAGGCAGGTGGTGGGCCGGCCGTGTGGCCGGCCCACTACCTGCCTCCCACTGCAGGTCTACCCAGGCAGCGTCCCCGAGGAGCAGCTGCAGCTCATCCCCTCGCTGGCCTACCTCTACTCCCATGTGGAGACTGGCCAGTGGCACATCACGTCCAAGGACACGGTCGTGGCCCTGCTGGCCCCAGACGGGGCCCTGGAGAACCAGACAGAGGTGAGGGTGGGGGTGGGGGTGGGCAGGGGACCCCGCTGACCCTGGCCTTGCAGACCCGAACCCTGCCCACAGGTCATCCTGCAGAAGTTCCTGGACCACAACGGCACCATCACCAGTGCCCTGCTTGTGGCCAACAGGGGCTCCCGCCTCTGTTGGATGAGCCCCCGCCAGATCCAGGCCATCCGGCCCTTGGAGTTTCGGTGAGCCCACCCAGCAACCCACCTCCCACACCTCAGAGCCACCTCCACTCCTCGGCCAAGGAAGGATTCTATGGGGGCCCAGGCCAGGCCATCGTAGGTAATTAGCTTCCTTCCTATGGCCTCCGTAACAAAAGATTAGAGTGGCTAAAAACAACAGAAATGTGTCCTCTCACAGTCTGGAGGCCAGAAGTCTGAAGTTAAGGTGTCAGCAGGGCTGGCCTCCCTCTGAAACCTGTAGGGGAGGCTCCTTCCTGCCTCTTCCAGCTTCGGGGCTGCATCACCCCCATCTCTGCCTCTGTCACAGCTGGCTTCCCACTGTGTCCGTGTCCAAGTTTCCTTCTTCTTATGACACCAGTCGTTAGATTCAAGGTCCACCCTAAATCAGTACGACCACATCTTAATTTGATTACAGCTACAATTAGGAAAGACCCTATTTCCAGATAAGCTCACGTTCTGAGGTTCTGAGTGGACATGAACTTGGAGGAGACACTACTGAACCTAGCACGGAGAGCAAGAGGAAAGCTGTGGTTCAGAAAGCGGGAGCCAGGCCCAGCGTCCAGAGGAGAAGGGGCCTCTGGCCTGCCCATCAGCCTCACCCCCCACCCAGGCTGGCCGGAGCCCTAGACATCTCCTCCTGCCCTCAGAGCCGCAAGAACGTGCTCTACGACAAGGCCCGAGAGGCCTTCGGCACCGCCAGAACTGTAGACGCCTACTACAGCTTCACGCCTCCCCCTACCTCGGTGAGACCTCGCCCTGCGTAGGGCACGCCTCCCGGAAGCCCCGCCCCTCATCGCTGCCCCGCCCCTAGGCGGTGCCCCCGTGGAGGAGCTGCGGCACCTGCCCCAGGCTAACGTCTCCGTGGACATTGACACTTTCACCAGTCTGAACACCCGAGTGCTGCAGGTGGGCCGGGGGCTACCCGTCAGGGGGTGGGGCTGGCCTAGACGAGGATGCCTAGGTTACGGTCTGCAGGCCCCAACACCCACCCCAAAGTCGGAGGTGTGCAGGCAGTGTGGGCCCCAGGTCACTTCTCCAGGTGCGTTCTGCTGGGTCTCACCCCTGCGCTCCGGCCAAGCACTGACCCCGCCCACGACCCCTCGCTCCCTTCGCAGAGCCTGAGCGTGGGCAACGTGACGACGCTGCTGGGCCAGAACATGGGGGACCTGCAGAAGGCTCACAGCCACCCCACCATCAGCTCCTGGCTCTGCAGCCTCAATCGGTCAGCCCTGGGCGAGCTGGGCCTGGACACGGACCCAACCGGCCCCACCGGCCTCACCCACGTGACAACTAGGACCCCCAACACCATCCCCTGGATGCCCCATCTAGTCCCCACCTCAGACCGGCCTTGGAGCACTGACCCCAGCTCAGGTATGCCTGCACCCACCCTCCCCACTCCAGCGGGCCATCCCCGCTCTGCCCTGTATGCCCCCCCTCCCCCAACTGCTACTAGCTTCTTGTCTTGCGCCCAATCTCATTCAGCGTTGGCCTACTCTTTCCATCTGCCTCCTCGGGTGACATCTGGGTGACACTGGCTTCACCTCGCATTGCCTGCTGAGGGACACCTCCTCCAAAATCTGCTGAGCAGCAGAAAGTGGAGAGTGGGGAAGTTTTGAGGTCCCCATCGGGACCCAGAAGAGCAGCTGTACATGGGGGTCCTCACTGCTCTTCCCCACCCACAGGGATGGTGTGAGCCCTGAGCCTGGCACAGGGGCCGCCCAGGCCTGGGGGAGGCAGGACAGCCTGGGGGCTCCCAGCTGGACTGAAGGGTGCTCCTTCCATGTTCCACCTACAGGCAGCCCACCTGGGGTATCTGCCACTTGCTGTGGCCCTGCCGTCAGGCCTCCTGTGGCTGCTGTATTGGAGCACCCTGGGGCCCAGCTGGAACCACTCACAGGGCACGTGCCCCATGGCCTCCAAAGACAGCGCTGCCCCAGCACCACTTGCAGGAAAACCGGGGCTGGTAGGTGGAGCTGGATGCCTGCCTAGACCAAGATGCCTGCCCCATGCCCAGGGGACCTGGCCACGTCCCACATCCCAGGGGCCTGCAGGGCCAGTCCCTGCCCACACCCAGCTCCCAGGACCTGGAGCCAGACTGAGGACCTGGGCCCAGGGTCACTGCCCCAGCCAGTGAGGGAGATGCTGCCCCTGCCCTCTGGCTTCTTCCAGATGAAGAACTGGGGTTGGGGAGGGGTTTCCGCGGACTGACTTCGCTGATTGATTTGAATAAAGGACAAGGTGGTCTTCCTGCCTGTGTCCCTTTGCTCTGGGCCTGAGGAGGGACAGAGACCCTCTTAACTAGGATCAGGACTCCAGCCTGCCATCTCCTGGGGCAGCAGTGTCACCAGAAGCCACCCTGAGTGTTGGCCTGGCCTGGGGGGAGACCCAACAATGGAAACAGCATCAGGAAGGCCCTGAGGGCCCCCCTGCCTGGAGTCCCTCCCCTTTCCAAGTGCAAAGAGGAGGGTTGAAACCCAGGGAACCCTGTCAACTGGGCCACAGCCATCAGGGCCCTCCCACCCAATTCTCAGAACACCACAGGGCACCTCTTCGAGGGGGGATGGGGCTTCTTTTATTGAGCTCTGGTGCCCTCGGGGTCAGACAGAGACCACCCAGGCCTACTCCCAGCCAGGTGGTGTCTCCATGGCAGGGCCCAGTTCCCAGAGCATAGCAGTGGGGTCAGTTCAGGATCAAGGCCAGGAGCCGACTTGGGGTCACAGTGAGCACAGGTCCAGGTCCTAGTCTGAGGAGGTGAGGGCCTCCGGAGGAGTCCTCTGCACAGAAAACAGGTGACTCAGACCCTGCCCCTCACTCTGCCCGACACCACCCGGCTGGCCACCCCAGCCCATCTCGGACGTTGAAGTCCAGGACCAGGTAGCCGTTGGGGGTGCCGCCGTGGAGCCCCAGCCCCAGACTGTCCAGGTCCTCCTGCGACTGCCAGGAGATCCAGTCCCGCAGTGGGCTGTTCCCCTCCTTAGCCTTCAGGCCCACCAAGTTTGCACCCAGAAGTTTCTGCACCTCAGCAATGGTCAGCGGCTGCCAAAGCCCCCAGACAGGGCTCAGGGCCTGCCTGCCTTTCCCCAGAAGGCTGCTGTCCTCTACTGTGTCCAAACCATCCCATGCTGCCCCACCCACAGACCCTTCCTTGACCCTTCCAGACTTCGGAGGGGGCTTTGGCTGCCTCTCCTGAGACCCCGCCACACCAGAGGCCCTGCCCTTCTCCATGGCCCTACCAGCACAGCCTCTCTCTGCAGCTTCTTGAATATGGCCACATCCATGTTTATGTTCTGCTGACTGAGAACCCACAGGTCCTCCATGGGGGCCCCACCTGCCCACGGAGAGAGGGGCCCCCAAGTGTGAGACCTTGCAGCAACCCCCAGTCTCACCCTCTGACAACAGGCTACCAGGAGCCAATTCCTTTACCAAGAGTCCCTTTTCCTAAGAAATTCCTGGGACCCTGGTTTGCCTGGTGACCACCTGACCCTCTGGGTTGGAAGATAGGCTGGGGGTGCCCAGAACTCACAGGGTCTCAGCCTACACACACTTGGAGGGATGGAGGGCACATTGACCACCAGTCACACCACCAGCAGGCTGCCCAATGAGAGGGGGAGCCTCAGGGATCACGCCCCCCGTGTCCTCCCGGGCTCACCCAGGTAGGGCTTGATCCTTGTGAAGTATTCAGACCCGCTCATGTTCTGGAAGGCGATGCGGGCCTTGGGGTAGAGGACAGCCATCTGCCATGGGCTGCATGTGTCCAGGTCCTGGGGCCTGGTCGCCCTGAGGAGGCAGCATAAGGCCGGGCAGTGAGCTCGGAGCACAGCACACCCACCACACCTGACAGACCCCAGGACTCACCAAACAACGTTGAGCTGCATGAAGCCCAGCTGCTCAGGGCTGAGGAGGCACAGGTAGGTAGCGGGGAAGGTGGCCAGGGTGTCCAGTGTGGCCTTGTCCAGCTGGCCCCCTCCCCCTACATAGCGGGCAATGAGGGCGGCCACCTGTGGGAGGAGGCCACTCAGTGGCGTGGAGCAGGGAGAGACATATCCCCTGGGGCCTGCACGACCTCACACCCTGTGCCTTCCCCTCCCCCCCTCCGCAGCCAGTCGCCCGAGCATCCATCCCATGCCCTTTGCTGACTTTGAGCAGAGGTTTCACGGTCTCCAGGGAAGTCACATTCCACTTGTGGATGTCTTCGGGGGTCACCCAAAGGAAGAAGTACCTCAGGTGCTGGATCAGGGACTCAGGGTACCCCTGTGGGTAGAACTTCCGGGTGAAGGGACTGTGACGGCCGCCGCCACTCCCCGGGCAGCTGGGAAAACTGTGCTACAGCAGGCAGGCGGGAGTCCTGAACTACCTCATCCAATTTGCGCTTGAAAATGTGCAGCTGCTGGTAGGTGAAGGGCACCAGGTTCACCTGGTCCATCTGAGCGGCCAGTAGGGCTCCGTCCACACAAGCCTCCAGCTCCCACTCCTCGTAGAAGACAAGGTTTTCGTCCAACACTTGGGCCTTCCGCCCCGGGGGGCAGGCCTTCTCTGCAGGGGCAGGCAGTGGGTTGGGGGCTGGCCATCTCCTGTCAACCTCCTCTTCCTTCTGCACCCACGCTGAGACCCTGGGCACCACATGACTCTCCAGGCCTCAGTTTACCCATCAGCAAAATGGAGCAATTTTGTTCACTCTCCTGCATTGTCATGATTGAATGAGTTGAGTGGCTAGGAAGGGCTGCAGGTGTGGACAAGTGAGACCTCACAATGCTAGCTCCCCATCCCAGTCTCCCCACGCAGCTGGGCACCGTGCTCACTCTCTGTGCACCGCTGGGCCCTCAGAAGGATGACGGTCACCTCAGGCCGCTGCCAGGACAGGTCCCATTGCAGCCATGGGGTCATGACACCCTGAGAACAGAGCAGGGCTGGGACTGAGCCGCGAGTGTCCTGGCTTCCAAGGACCCCCACCCAGGGCCAGAAAACCCTCCCCTGATTCCCCAGAGGGGCCTTACCAGTTCCGTGTCTGCAGCCTGGGCCCTGGAAAGTAGCACCCACCCTGCAGGGGAAGGGACACCAGGCTCGAAGGGATGGCAGGGGCTCCACCCAGGGTAGGAAGGAGGCAAAGCCGGCCCCTTCCAGCCCCATGCACACTCCATGGGTGTGGAAGCAGAGGGTTAGGCCCCTCACCCTATGGTGTCACAGCCCATGACACCGAACCAGGGAGCACAGGCCTCCCACATCCTCCTCCTGGGGCCCCTCTGCTCAGGGCAGGCAGAAACCTGTCCCATGGGCACCCTCAGTTTGGCCTGTGCCCCCATCACCACCCTGCCTCTGCCTCCAACCCCATAGGGCACTGTGGTGCAGCGGGGGTGCCAGACACAGTCATCTCTGGGGGCAGAGACAAGGCTAACAGCCTGCCTGGGACTCAAGGCACCTGCCGAGATTCAGGACACTTCTCTGGAATCAGGGGCACCTGCCCAGGACTCGGGACACCTGCCCGGGAAGGGGCTGGGGGGCACTGCCCACAGCCGGAGAGGATGTGTAGAGCAGGTAGAGCCTTTCCTAAGGCCCCGACCCCCTGAGGACCCTTGGCTGCCCTCTGTGCTCTCTGCACACCAGCGTTTTGCGGCAACCCGCCCTCATGACTCACCGAGGCAGAGAAGAAGCAAGAGGCTGCCGTGGGTGGGAGTCCCACAGGACCCCACGCGGGGTTGAGCAGTCTGCAAGGCCACAGTCTGTGGAGGACAGCCACTCTGATGTCCTCCCTGCTTCCCCGCCCCTACCATGTCACCCTACCCATGACTGCCCCGGGCCAGTGCGGGGCCTCGGGGGGCTCCCAGGTCAAACCTTCACAGGCCTCCACAGCAGTGTCTGTGCTGCCGCTGGCCCTTCTCTCAGAGCCAACCAGCAAGCCTGCCCCGCCCCCTCCGGGAAACTGGCCCCTCAGCCAGGAGTGTCAGGTCTGAGTCAGCCTGGCCCCCAGCTGTGAGGGCCCCAGTGGGCAGCCAGCAGCTGGCGCCTGTCTTCTCTCCCTGCAGGGCAGGGCAGTGCAGGACAGGGCAGGAGAGTTTCGTGCGAGGAGGCAGGACCGCCTCTGGCTCTGGCTGGCCTGTTTCCCCCACTCAAAACAGGGGAGCTGGGCTTCCCTGGTGGCGCAGTGGTTGAGAGTCCGCCTGCCGATGCAGGGGACACGGGTTCGTGCCCCGGTCCGGGAAGATCCCACATGTCGCGGAGCGGCTGGGCCCGTGAGCCATGGCCGCTGAGCCTGCGCGTCCGGAGCCTGTGCTCCGCGACGGGAGAGGCCACAACAGTGAGAGGCCCGCGTACCGGGAAAAAAAACAAAAAAACAAGGGAGCTGAGCAGTTCTGGGCTGGGGGTCAGGCTGAGCGACCCCTCACCCTGCAGCGTGGCCACCCTCCCCTCCCACCCACAGCCGCAGGTGCTGGGCTTTGTGCAAACCCAGGGCCCTGTGCAAACCCAGGGCCCTGCCAGCTGGACAAGGCTGGCAGGGCCCACCAGCCCACTGCTTTCCCTTCTGAGGTCGCTCCCAAAGCAGAGGCCTGGGCAGTACCAGAAGGAGTTCCCTGGTAGCCTAGCAGTTAGGACTGCAGGCTCTAACTACCGTGGCCCGGGTTCAATCCCTGGTCAGGGAACTGAGATCCCATATGCCATGTGGCATGGCCAAAAAAAAACAACAACAAAGGGTGATAC